AGTTTGATTTACAAAAACTATAACAATTACTACAAATAAAAAAAAACTATACACTCCATATCACACCCACTAATGCCCTAACCTGCCCCCAGTCCCACAACCTTGACCGTGAACCTCCCTCCTCGGTCTCTTGCGGTAGACTCTCTGAATATCTGGCACTCCCTCCCTTGCATGTGGCCCTCCATTGACTGCCTGTGGAGCCTGTAAGTGTGACCCCCCCTCTCCTACATGTGCAACCCCTGATCCTGTCTCTGGCTGAAGATCGGATACTACTGTGAGCTGTGAAACTCCCTCATTTGGTGCAACTGTATCACGATCTGCAGCTGAACCTCGACCTCTGCTTCTGCCCGCACCCCGACCTCGGCCGCGACGTCCCCCACGACCATAACCTTGGCCTCTCCCTCGCGCTCTGGAGGGGGGCTCAATATGGGCCTCATCCTCAACGTGGGAGATGTCAGTGAGAACTGCATCATGTGTACTCATGGTCGCGGTCGAACTAGTCCCCAGAAAAGCAGGTGGTAACTGGGTAGGTGGGGTAACAACGTCATGCATGTATCGGGGCGGTGTCCAATCAGGGTCAGCATGCTGGGTAGGATGTACGTGTGGGGAATCTGGAGAAATGTATGGGGTACCATGCGGTGGGGAATCTGGAATCTGGAGAAATGAATGGGGTACCAGAGTCATCATTTTCAAAATATTTATGATTAATGGGGAGGGTGGGGCTTACAATTTTGTATTAGGGTATAAGGTATAATGCTTAGTGATTAGTGGATAACATTGTCATGTGGTTTACTTATAACACCTAATAATTTTCTACTAACACTCAAGGAATTGACACAATTCCTTCCTCTTTTAATAAAGGTAAAACAGCTTTATATAAATAAATATTTTCAAAATAAGATTTTATGGGTTAACAAAAAAGAAAGAGAACTTAATGAAACATGAACGTTACCAATAGGATTTTTAAGTAATTAACCCAATTATTAAGACTTCTTCCTTAAAATTTAAGAAAGACAAAAAAGAAAATTTGATATTTAAGATTAAATTTTTTTTAAAAAAATTAATAGAGCAACGATATATACTGACAAAATTTGTATAAATTTTTTGGATTTGATGCGGATCTTTCCCCTAAAAAAAATGTAGATGATTTTCATTTGTAATAAAAGGCAAATTGAATCCCTAGTCGTGCAATTTGCTTCTTGTCTCAAATCAATTTGATTCTTGAAGCTCTAATTACATCAACTTTTATCCTTTAATTTTACACAATGCATGAATTAAGTGCAACGGATAATATCTATTAAGAGATTAGAGCAAAATCAAATGCAAAATAATTCATTCAAAAGGGAATAGATCACTCACACTAATCCCTTAATTACTTTGAGAATAATAAATTGAGTATTTTAGTCTTGATTTTAATCCAATTTCTAAACACTGAATAAAGGTGAAATACTGAATAAAGGTGCATATATATCTAGTACTATTATAAAGAGAAGTCTTCTCTGGGTGTTTATGTCTCATATTTTGGGTTTTTCAAAAATACCGCCATATCAATTATATGGGCAGTTATGCACTAAATTCATTTTTTTTTTTTCAAATCTCTCAACTTTTGAATTTTTCAGATTCATTTCAATTTTCAGATTTTGAATTCAATCATACAGTTTACAGTCTTATTTTCTGTAACAAAATGATCATATATATGTAAGCATGTGGACCTCGAATTGAAATTGCCAGCCCACCTTAATTCTCAATTATATGAATTTCATAATATGACATTAACAATTGTCAATTATATGAATTTCAATTCGCATAATTTTATTCTTAATTTAAAAAAAATTCATTTTATTAACAAGCAAAAAATAAAATTTCCAATTCAACAAATATAGGTTGGTTTATTCACAATTCATAAATTCCAAACCCTAATTTCAAAAAATATAGACAGGATTCACAATTCACAATGCAAAAAATATAGACACAATTCAAAATTCAAAACCTTAATTTCTGAAATCACGAGCATAATTTCTAATTTCACAATTCAAAACCCTAACATTTTATGATTTCATAATTTCATAACCACACATTTAAAACCCTAACACATTTAACCACACATTTAACCACATATTTCATAATTGAAAACCATAACACATTTATTATTTATGATTTCATAATTCAAAACCCTAATTTCTAATTTCAAAACCCTAACACATTCTAATTCAAAACACATTCTATGATTTCATAATTGAAAACACATTCTATCCTAATTTCCAATTTCTAATTCAAAACACATTCTATGATTTCATAATTCAAAACCCTAACACATTTCATAATTCAAAACCCTAATTTGTAATTTCATAATTTATGATCTCACATTCAATTGAAAACCCTACAAAATTTTCACAATTCAAAACCACAACATTTTTTACTAATTCAAAACCACACATTCACATTTTCACAAACACAATAAACACATAAAATTCAAATGAGACGGAGAGAGATAGATGCCATACCACGGACAGAGAGAGAGCAGAGACAGAGAGTGAAAGCAGAGAGAGAGTCTGAGAGCAGAGGGAGAGGGAGAGCGAGAGCAAGAGTCTGAGAGCAGAGCAGGGGAAGAGCGAGAGCGAGAGTCTAAGAGGGAGAGTCAAAAAAAACGTAAGTGTGAAAACGTGATTGCAGATGAGGGGGCTTGGGTGTTTTATATAAGTTATAAAAGCGTGGTTTCAATCCGCGCTTTCATTTATCAACAGTGAAAGCGTGTTTGTGAATCACGTTTTCTTAACAAAACAAATATATGCACAGTGAAAGCGTTATTACGAATCACGTTTTCTCAAGAAAACAATATGAACAGTGAAAGCGTGGTTTGGAACCACGTTTTCTTCAGAAAAAAAAAAATTCAAACAATATGCACAGTGAAAGCGTGGTTTGTAATCACGTTTTCTTCAGAAAACAAATTTATGTTAAAAGCGTGGTTTGTAACCACGCTTTCTTAATTAAAAGTGTGGTTTGTAATAGCGCTTTCACTATTCATCAAATTTTTTGCTCCAAACAGTGAAAGCGTGATTTGTAATAGCGCTTTAGCCTAGTTTGGAAATTCTGTCCAAACTAACCCTAGTTTGGAAATTAAGATAGTAAATTGGCTTAATATGGGAAAAGCCTCCATTTTCTAAGGATTGAGAAATTCTATGATTTGAGGTGTATACCTTATGCACATTTAGTTACAAATATTTAGTTACAATTTTTGTATTTTTAGTTATGATTTATTGTATTGTTAATTATGATATATTGTGATATTAGTTATGATTCAAGAATTGTTTAGTTATACATTATGTGATATTTAGGCCAAGTTTGGCATATCGCAAAAAAAAGTCAAAAAGTCAAAAAGTTAAAAAATTACTCAAAAAATTAAAAAGTTAATACTATTCACCAAAAGTCAACAATTACGGCTGCACAACTCCCAATCCTAATTTTTCCCTATAAATCATTTTTTACAATTTTTTATTACACATTTTTCCATAAAAAATCAAAAAATTAACCCAAACATCCATATTTTTTTCCTCAATTTTTTAGTCTAAAAAGATAAAAAGTGCACTTATTTAGGAATTTTTCCCTATAAATCATTTTTTACAATTTTTTATTACACATTTTTTCATAAAAAGTCAAAAAATTAACCCAAACATCCATATTTTCTTCCTCAATTTTTTAGTCCAAAAAGATAAAAAGTGCACTTATTTAGGATACCCCAAACAACCCTTTAGCTATACTCAATTTTTTTTAATCATGACTCTCATAATATTAAATTATACCATTTATAATAATTAAATTCATAAATAATATAACTTGCATAATACTTATCCTTTTGACGATTGTGTACATCAACCCTGCAGCCCTACTAGGGTTCCCTTCCCAGGAAAATAAAGAAACTTAGGCACACGTGTTTCACATGCCTTAAAAAAATGCAGTCTTACAATTGTTCATTACATGTACTTGGTCATAGGTCACGTTCTGGTGATCATTCAGTTCATCACTACTTAGGACCACTTATTTCATTATTATTTAATTACTATGTGAAAAGAATCCATACCGTGTTTACTTTGCCTGCGAACTTAATACTTATAATCAAACTACCCAACCCATAAAATTAGGCAGACTTAGTCTTTACCCACCTTTTTTTTTTGTTTTTTTGAACAAAGCCATACCCACCCTTGAACTTATAAATTTAACTCGTCTTTTATTTTCAAATATAAAAATATTATTTATCACTATACTTATTTCAGTCACCTATTTCACATTTTATCTATAGTCAATCGTAGAAACCACCATGTTATACAAAGTGAGAAACTTTAATAAAATTTAAGTGATATATAGTAAGAAATCATGATAAATGTTTCATGAGAATGCTCATGAAAGAATATCCATTCTTATATTACACATTATAATTTATAACATATGAAATCTTTCATAAAATATTTTTTATGATAACTAACATTACTATAATGTTAAGTGAGACTCATACTAAGGTGTAGAATTCATGTGCAAGCATTGAGTCTTATTTGATATGTTTGTTGTTGCATTCTTCGTATTATAAAATAAGAAAAATGTTTGAAACATTTAATTTATCACCTTTAAAAATCACCTCTAGTGATGTGTCTGACAAGTATCACATTTTGATTTGTCAAACATTCTATCATATGTGATTTAATCTCAATGTCATATTATTATGGGTGATTTAGGGATGATAAATTAAGAGTATATAACATTATTGATAAAATAAGCACTTGAAAAGTAACAGAACAAGCCATTATGAAATAAAATATGTATACCAAATTTATTTTGAATGTAATTTATATTATATTAAATTTAAATTTACTATATTTAAGCACTTTTATAAGTGGTTAAAAAGAATTTTATAAGTACTTTTTGTACCACTTTTTAATATTTTGCACTGCTAGGCGGCGAGGAATCAGCTATAAATGAACTCGCAAATGCCTTATGATCTATCTCAATTCAGTGTCGTAACATTGTAAAGTTACATTCGCTTCTGTACCATGTTATCTTGCTTTTTCACACCCACACACTCATCTTCATTTTTTGTGCTTTGCTTATTACTTGGTAACCAGGACATGAGTTCTAGTCTCTCTAGCAAAGTTTGGAGCTTGACTCATGCTCATTAATCTCGGGCTACAAACTCCTTATCATTATGTTATTGGTGTGATTCAAGCCCGTTTTGAGACAGCACCTGTTGGATTCCTCACGTGTAGTACCCTCACGTTCGGCTCTCCAGCGAGTAGAGGCTCTTTTGGTCACCTCCAAGAAGGGTTGCTACATGTTGTTGGCCCTCTCTTACCTTTTTCTCAAGTGAAGTCTAACCAAGTTATCCAAAGTCTGCAACAACATCTGTGAGAAATGGCAGGGAAGAAATTTCACCTTTCGATTTTGTTGTGGGAGATGTTGTTTGCTTGAAGATTGGTGACCAAGTTCCAGCTGACGGATTGTTCATAGACGGGCACTCGCTACAAGTTGATGAATCAAGCATGACACGGAAAAGAGATCGTGTAGAAGTTAATCTAAGCCAAAATCCTTTCTTGTTCTCTAGCGCCAAGGTGATTGATGGCTTTAATCGAATGCCTGTCACCTCTGTTGGCACGAATACAACAGGGGTGAGTTGATGAGCACAATCAATCACGACGCCTTTGCAAGCTCAGCTCAGCTCAACACGCTAATCTCATCAATTGGGAAGGTTGGTTTGACAGTTACCTTTCCTAGTCCATATGGTAGAAAAGGGAATTTTTTTGGGTTGTTCTGGAGCTAAACATTTCTGTGTCGAAGCCTTCAATTCAACAAAGAAAGGAGCTGAGAATATGATCAATGTGTATTGGAAAGGCGCTCCAGAGATGATACTAGCAATGTGCTCATATTAATATTATGTCTCTCTGGAAACGTTAAAGCCCTGGATGATGTTGAAAGGAAGAAATTTGATCAAATAATTCAAGGTATGGAAGCCAAAAATCTCCGATGCATCGCTTTTGCACACAAGCAACTTCCAGAAGAGGCGAACAAAGATGGAAAAACACACCGAAAGATAAAAGAAAACTGCTTGATCTTTTTGGGTATGACAGGCCTCAAGGATCTTTGTCGACCAGGTGTGAAGAAAGTTGTGAAAGCATGTCAGTATGCTGGAGTGAAACTCAAAATGATCACTGGCGACAATGTTTTCACTGCTAGAGAGCAATATCCACTGTTTGTGGCCTAACGAGGGCATGAATAGTGAAAAATGCAGCAACAACAAACAACAGCCAGACAAGAGGAATATGCAGAGAATGAGGACAAAAGAGGGGGCAAAAAAAGGTAAGATATGACACATTTTTAGGCTTTTATTTTTTCTTAATGGCAATGATGTTTTTTCTATCCATCTCTGATGAGGGCAAATTCGACTGCAGAGTCGTCTCCCCTATATAGTTTGCTTTTAATTTCTTCATGGAGTGGGGCTAATTAAAGTCGGTTCTTCTTTCTATTGATGAACTGGTTTGGGACCCATTATCCCCTTTGTCGGTTTTTTTTAGGGGGATTTACCCGCCCGTGATAGATAGAAAATTTATTTACAAAAAATAATAAATATTAATAATTATAATTATAATTATTTTCTTAATATATAATAATTTTTTAGCACCCCCTTCATTTTCCCTTCTGGTTATTGTATTTTTGTTCTTAATTTTTTAAAATATTTTTGTTTCTAGTAATTTTTTTTAAAAAAATCGAATATTTCATTTTTAGGTCTTTTAGACTAGTCTCTAAAAATTCTTAAGAATCAAATTTTGAATCAAATTTGAAAAAGTGGACCAAACAAAAATATCTATTTTATTGGCTAATTATTTAGTAATATCGGAATATAAACGCGTAGTATTTTATAGTATTATAATTAATAAAAAAAGTAAATAGATGAGATATTATTATATTGAGTGGTTAAGGAATATAAAAAATATAATAAATTATAATTAATTGAAAACACGAACATATGTTACTCCGACGATACTATATAATTTTCATATTGGAGTCTCGAATCCCATGACTTTTAAAGTCTTAGGTTCATTTCCGACTGCTACAATTACGCAATTGGTGACGTGTGGAATTGTGTGCCTTGTCTTTATTAATTTTTTATTAGATAGGACCTTGTCTCTATTAATTATTACAAGGAAGAAACTAATACCAAAAAAAAAAGAAAAAGTATTGTTCTTTATTTATTATGCCAACACTTTCATATACAAGAATTGGATAAAAATTATGAGAAAACTAACCTATGATATGACATATCGCACATTCAATACCAAACTTATCACAATTACATGCATTTTCAATTTCTCCATTTCAGATGACTGAAAAATGGTTTCTTTTGGAACAGAAATGAACTCAATAAGCCAACCAATTGGCCAAAGACATGGAGGCAATTCTGATACAGACCACTTGTTCCTGTGTATGCCACACCTTCTACCATAGCTCCACCATTCATGTCCTGGTTAGACCCAAATAACCCACATTAAGTGGCAATAGCTCTAGCAGTGAAAACATTGTCTCCAGTGATCATTTTGATGTTCACTCCAGCATACTGACAGGCTTCCACAACTTTCTTCACACCAGGTCGACATAGATCCTCAAGGCCTACCAACCCCAAAAGTATCAAACAGTTGTCTTTTACCTTTTGGTGTTGTTATTCCATCTTCATTCTCTTCTTCTCGAACTTGCTTGTGTGCAAAAGTGATGCATCGGAGGCCACTAGTTACCATACCTTGAATTATTTGATCAAATTTCTTCCTTTCAACGTCATCCAGGGTTTTGATGTTTCTAGAGATATCATAGTAATACGAGCACATTGCCAGTACCATCTATGCAGCCCATTTCCAATGTGCATTGATCTTATTGTCAGCTTTCTTCCTATGTATCCATGTTTAGTTCCAAAATGGTCCAAGAAAGAAAGCTATGATGGGGTTAGATTGTTGAGTCGGACTTGCAAAGGCGTTTGCTCGTTGGGAACACAACTAATTGTGCTCATCAACTCACCCTATGTTGTGTCCATGGTAACAGAGGTGACAAGCATTTGAGCAGAGCCATGGACACCTTAGTGCCAGAGAACAAGAATGGATTTTGGGGGTAGATTAAATTGTACGTGATCACTTTCCCCTGTCATGCTTGATTCATCAACTTGTAGCAAGTGCCCGTCTATGAACAACCCGTTAGCTGGAACCTGGTCACCAATCTTCAAGCAAATGACATCTCCAACAACAATTTCGAAAATTGGGATTTGTTGCTTCCTACCATTTCATTTCATAAAGTCATAAACCATATCATTTTAAGTTGTAAAACGTAGTCTTCTTCTTTTTTTCTTTTTTTCTTTTTTGTATCTTTTACAATCGTTAGTTGTAAAATAGAAATTTTCATTCTATTCATGAAATGAAGAGTATGTAGATATGAGTTCGGATCCTCTTGAGTACAATAAGAAATAGAACCCACCTCAAAAAATCTAATCTTTAAAAGCCAATAAGAAACAGAACCCAATTGAAGTCTTGTGCAATAAAGCCTAAAAAACAAAAACATGAGTTCAATAAGAAACAGATATAATCAAAGCAAAGTTTCCAGATACCCATTAATCCAAACAAAAAGAGTCTTTGAAACAGAACAAAACCCAAAGAAAAATCAGCATATAAAAAAGAAAACAAACAGCAAGAGTCATCCACCAACATTGCCCAAAAGTAAAATAGGCACAATTAGAATTAGCAATCAAAAATACCCAAATCCCCCTTCTTCTTCTTTTTCAATTGAAATCCCCAAATCAAAACCTTTTGTCCTTTTTTTTTTTTTTTCTTTTTTTTTTTGAACATAGAAAATAAGGAACAAAGAAAACCACCAAGCTAAACAGCATTACACAGATTACGTAGAGCAGCAGGAGGGTGTGAGACCCAATCAAGAGGAAGATTGCCATGCAGGAAGGCCTGGGCCACCCGGTGAGTTGCTTCATTTGCTACTCTCGGACACCACTGGAAAGACAAAGGACTTCGAGCAGCCATCCCCTTGATATCATGGATAATGGCTCCACACTCCCAAGGGGGAACATCCTCAGAAACACACAAGTGGATGACATATTTATTGTCGCTTTCCACAACCACCAGTGCTGGATTGAACTCTTGAGCCAACTGACAAGCGAGTCGGCATGCTAGAGCTTCGCCTTGAAAAGAGGAAGAAATACAACACTTCTTGGTGATTCCATCCATCAGCTGACCCTTAGAATCCCGAAGAACCGCTGCAACTGCAGCTAGATTAAAGCCCCTCTTAACAGCCACATCGCAATTGATTTTTAAGTTCCCTATAGACAGAGGCACCCGATTTGCTACAAGAAAAGTGACAGCAGCCTGAAACTAAGAACGCAAAACAGCCCTCAAACCCATAGCTGACTCAAATTCTGCCATGGCCATCCGAACTCGAGATAAGACTGAAAGAGGATCAATCGGTTGGTTGTTAAGAAAAAATCATTCCTGCCCTTCCAAATAAACCAACCAGTCCAAACAACTTGCTGAAAGAAAAACTCCCGTTCAGCAGCATTTTGAAACTGCTCCATCATAGCACACGACCATTCAAGGACCGAGTGGATGGAGCTCCAGTTGACCCTGAAATTTAGATTACTCCCAAACCATACTGCGCGAACCCAGTTACACCCAAACAGTAAATGCTCCACCGATTCGGGTTTGGAATGGCAAATTGGACAGAGATTAGAAAAAGCACACCTTTTCCGGACCAAGTTCTCTCTAGATGCTAAAGCATTTTGGCACACACGCCACCAAAAGTGGCGGATTTTTGGCGGAACTTTGAGAGCCCAAATGTGTTTCCAAAAATTACTAGGAGGTTAGAAGGAAGAAAACGGAGTTTGTGTTAGATGGTCATGTACAAGGGACCTAGCAGTGTGATACCCCGAGGAGACCGAATATGATCCTTTAGATTCAAAATGCCAAACCTGAGAATCTACCAAAGGTGCCAAAGCAATGGGAATGGAGGAAATAACTTTAAGTTCAGAGGCTGACACAAGGGAACTAAGGGCATCCAATTTCCAACTCTTTGAAGTATTATCAATAGCATCCACCACTCTGTTAATCTCACAATTCACAGGTTGCATGGAGGTGACTTGAAAATTAGGGAGGGAGGGGACCCATTTGTCCTCCCAAAAACAGATAGAAGACCCATCATTAACTTGCCACAGGACCCCCTTTTTTAAAATTTCCCGTCCTTGCAGAATGCTTGCCCATGCCCAAGAAGCCCGGCGACCTTTATTTGCAAGCTTAAAGCTAGAATGAGGGAAGTAAATGCCTTTCAAAATACGAGCACTGAGAGAGTGCGGATACTTTAGTAATCTCCATCCCTGTCTTGCGAGCAAAGCCAAATTGAAGCTGTGGAAATCACGAAAACCCAATCCTCCTTGGCGCTTGGACATCACCAATTGATCCCATCCAACCTAGTGGATCCCTTTCCCATCCAACTCCCCTCCCCACCAAAAATTGCGAATGTAGGAATTCAATTTAGCACAGAACTTTTTTGGAAAAGCGAAACAGGCCATTGCATACGAGGGGATTGCTTGAACCACCGCCTTTATCAGGGTTTCCCTAGCAGCTTGTGAAAGCAACTTCATCTTCCAACCCTAAAGCTTTGAGACCACTTTTTCTATAAGAAACTCATAAACCTCTGCTTTCGATCTTCCCCAAAAAGATGGCAGCCCCAAATATTTTGCAGATGGGGGTGAAACCTTAAGACCAGACATGGCACAAATAGAGCTGCATAAAGTTTGAGGCACATTAGAGGAGAATTGGACACTGGACTTGTCAAAATTAACCATTTGACCAGAAGCAGCACAATAGGCTGATAGGATATCCAAAACTTTTTGACATTCCGAGACCTCTGCCTTTAGGAAAAGGTGCACATCATCAGCGAATAACAGATGAGAGAGAGCTGGGCAGTGCCTTGTAATCTTAAAACCAGTGATTTGCCGGTCCGTGAGACTTTGTGAGAGAAGATTAGAGAGTACATCCGCGACCAAAATAAAAAGATAGGGAGATAACGGATCCCCTTGGCGAAGCCCACGAGTGGGAATGAAAAAGGCCCTTTTTTCACCATTAACACAGATTGAAAAGCTCACAGTTGATACAGATTCCATAATCCAATTGATCCACTGCGAATGAAAACCCAATTTCTGCAAAACTGCGGCCAAGAAGTCCCATTCTATACGGTCATAGGCTTTGTTAAAATCAAGCTTTATAGCCATATAACCCACTTGCCCACCCTTCTTCAGTTTCAAGGAGTGAAAAGCTTCATGCGCTATGAGGATATTATCTTGAATCAACCTACCTGGGACAAACGCTGACTGATTTGGGGAAATTAACGAACCGAGCACTTTTTTCAGACGATTGGCCAAGATTTTTGTGATGATCTTAACAATAAAGTTACAAAGGCTGATAGGACGGAACTATGATAAATTTGTAGGATTACCAACTTTGGGGATCAGAACCAAATTTGTTTGATTGAGCTCTTTGAACAGAAACCCTCCCACAAAAAAACTGCGAACAACTTGATAAACTTTGGTGCCAACCACATCCCAATAGTTTTGAAAGAAGAAACCAGGGAAACCATCTGGCCCGGGTGCTTTAACACCGCCAAGTTGGAAAACAGCAGTTCTAACTTCCTCCTCAGTTAACATGGAGATTAACTGACGGTTCATTGAGTCAGTTACCAGCGGCTGAACCACGGAAAGAGCTTCATTAAGATTTCTATCCCCCACACTTGAAAACAACTGAGAAAAATATTCCAACAGATGGCTGTTAATTTCAGGGTCGGATTCCATCCAGCGGCCATTCTCATCTTGAAGTTTAAGGATTTGATTGCGCTGACGACGTTGGATCATTGTGGCATGAAAAAAACTAGAATTCTCGCTGGCTTTTCTCGTTCATCTGGTCTTGTCCTTTTTCCTTTTTGTTTTTTTTTTTCAACTTACACAAATTGACGTCGTTTTATTCTAAGAGTATCAACAATCTATATCCAGATCCAGCATGCATCATCCATTTGAACAATCGTAACAGGGTTAACTATATGGGGCCTAGCACAGGCGGGCTGCTAGTTGTTGGCAGGAGTGTAACTTGGACGGGTTTAATCCGAGTAATTTGAATTTAGTTTGAATTTTTTTAGATTTGGACAAAAAAATTTTAAATTCGGTACGAGTTTGGATAAAAATTCAGAAGTTCGAATTAAATTTAGACAGCTTGGACAAATATATCAAATAACTCGAGCAACTCGAAACCAGAATTATACATATATATATATATATATAAATATTAAATATACATATAAATTATTAGTCATTACATGATATTAAAGTAATTTAGATTATTAAATCATATTGAATATATATTATATATAAAAGCACAGGATGAAACAACAAAATCACAAGTTACATGTACTGTTCCAGACTATCAAAATCAAATCATTTTTTGGGTACATCGGAGGCCATAACCTGAGGGAGGGAGGAGGCTTTCCTGTGGTAAAACTTGAACCCTTGACCTCCAATGAGACGTAGGGAATCTGCAAATCTGGTTAACTGGGCTACCCCCAGTTGGTTATCACAACAGTGGAAAATATTATCAAAAGGGGGGAGGGGGGAATTCTAAATGAAAATGCTGGAATATTTCATCAAAAAAAAAAAAAAACACTAAAATTCATTTAAAATTCGGACAATTTAGGTTTAACTCAGGTCAAGCTTGGGCAGGCAATCTCGGATTATAATTCTGGCCTAACCTGGACTTGGACATGGACAACTTCCCAACCCGACCAAATCCGCCTGAGTTGCACCCTAGTGGTTGGTAATTGATCTACATTGGGCCTAACCCATTCCTTTGTAGTTGGTACTTGAGCCCACTTGCATTTCACTGCCAAATTGCCAATGCAAATTCATAAATATGAGGGTGGGCTTGACGAGTTCAGATTCTCCCTCTGCTGCCCCTCTCCCTGTCCATCCTCTGTTTCATGTTCTCTCCAGTCCCATGCTAAAAGAAATTTTAAAAAAATGTTTCAAAATTTCTAGATATATAATAATTTTATTAGATTTATTTTGAAAAAAATGAATCGCACAGTTTAAAATCATATAGTATAAAATTAATAGTGATATGAGGTATAGATGAGGTTTAGATCTCAACATTTGATATTATTTGTACAAAATTAATTGTCCTCACAGTCAAATTCACATCTTCAAAACTGAGAGGTCGAGTTTTTTCCAATAACCTCGGAACCATGACAACCTTATTTTGGGAACAAATGATGGTAAAAAAAATTTAGGTTGAATTACATTAACAGTCCTTATAGTTTGAATCTTGTGTCAATTTAGTTCATGACTTTTCAATTGTGACATATTTGATTGTAAATTTTGAATCTTATTTCAAATAAGGATAATTGAAGATATAATTACTCAATTTTAATAGCAAAGTCGTCAATTTAATAAAATATAAACTAATTTAACAAAAATAAATGTCAAAAAAATATTTTTGAATTTTTAAAAATTATTTTATCCACTAAAGATAAAATTATGTAAAATTAATAAATCTTTTAGGCATTTATTTATTTATTTTTACCAAATTAATTTTTATTATGTGTTTGGATGATGATCGTGTAATGGATGGTTGCTTTTATTTTCATTAAATTAGTTTATATTTTTCCAAAGTCAAATATAACGATAACTTTGATATCATTATTAAATCAATCCATTAAATCAAAAAATTTAAAACTAAAAACATTTCATATATTAAATATATCGATTATAGATTAAAAGCCTAACAACCACTCATTACATAATCATCATCCAAACACATAATAAAAATTAATTTGATAAAATTAATAAATAAATAAATAAATGTCTAAAAAATTTATCAATTTCACATAATTTTATCTTTGGTATGTAGAAATAATTTTTAAAAATTTAAAATATTTTTTTGACATTTATTTTTGTCAAATTGATTTATATTTTATCAAATTGACGACTTTACCTTAAAATTGAACAATGGTATCTTCAATTATCCTTATTTAGAATAAGATTCAAAATTTATAGTCAACTATTTTACAATTGAAAAGTTATGAACCACGTAACACGAATCCCAAATTAAAAAAATTATTAGCGTAATTCGTTCAAAAATTTACGTGTGCAAAAGCACAACCTACCCCAACTTTCACAGTGATGCCCCCATTTTTTCAGATAGCTCCTCTGGTTTGTACTTCCTAAGTACAACATAGCATGCCATGAAGGCATTCAATTTCCATGGCCCATCAATTTTTTCTTCTTAAACTTTACTAATCTGGACTTTAATTAGAAAGAATTGGTAAAGAAAATTCCCAGATGGATGCAATTTGATGTAATCATTTGAAGGGCTAAAAATTAAATTAAAAGTTGGGTATAGTGGTGTTCCACCAACTCTTCTTTGTTTTCCTTTTATTGATAAAAAAAGAAGTGGAAGAAGGGTCCTCTTATTAACAGGCCGAAAGGTGGAGAGTTCCAAAGAAAATGCAAATCTGTGATGATTTTAAAACTAAAAAACATCTCTCTCTAAGCCACCTTTCATCCAGAATAAACTTTAACACCAAGTAATCTTGAAGAATAGACCCACCTGTTCACAAGATCTTATCAAAACCATCATTCAATGCCCATAACATAAGTAAGGTTTTAAATAAATTGATATAGGTCATGTTGTAGGAATATCAAGCAATACATATCGAGAATTGAGTGATGTTGATCACTTATTTTTTTAAATATATGCATTAGTTATGAATTAAGTCAAGAATCAACAATGAAACGATATGTATCATGAACCAGCCGATATACAAGTATGCAATTTTTATTATCACAATATATACTAAGGTGTATCAGTATCGAGAGGTCAAAAAATTGACACTCATTGACCAATATGGTATTATTAGACCGTTTTTAAAATCAAGGGCAAAACACAAAACATTAGGACCTACCACTCCAAAACAGCTGTTTGGTCACCTTAATTATACAGTGCAAATACATGCAATCTTATATTGTGTTTGTGTCTTGGATTCCTCCCCTAGCACATTAGCCCACAACTAATTAGGTGAGGTTTGGTCGCCATGTAGGTCCTTCCTACTTTTTCTCTTTCAAGTGGACCTTCGGATCCTATAATGGAGGGCATTTCTAATAGACGAACCTTTTATGTGATATTCACACAAAGCTCTCAAAGCCCTATAAGCTTTTATTATTGGAATTGAACTCATTTGAGCTATGCAAAAGATGAAACTGATCCAACATGTTTCATGTTCAAAAGGATTGTCATGAAAAAAAATAATAACAATTTACAAAGAAAGTTTTTATAGAAATTTTGTTTGTATGGAATCTTCTATCTCATCTGTCATGTCTGTCTCCAACGTCTATGATAAAGAGATGATTTGAAACAAATATAGGAGAAATGGAACAAATATCCAATAATCTGATGAACAAATATTAACCCACTGTCCAAACGCAGCTTTATGTTCTGCGCCGCACATACAAAATAGCTGCCCTAGAAAGGGCATGTTTAATCTAAATATTTTTCCTTAAAACAAATGTCTAGACTTCGGGATAACAGTGATTAAGAGTTCTGCAAAGCATAATCATACAAGCAGGTCACTGATAGGCTATGGGAGGTGTGTTGTGTCACCAACAGTGAGTTTAATTTACTTAAAGTTGTCATCAAATGCTATAAAATTCATGATCACATAATGTCCATGTTAGAAAGAAAGACACAAAGGCAAAAACTTCCACTACATACCTTTATCAAAACTTTATTAAAAGTGCAAAATGGATTTCTGATCATATTTTTTTTAATAGGGGAAGTACAAAAAATGAAATAAAATTTATTTATGTATAGCATTACTTTTAATAAAATACACATTGAACTCGTATTGTGACAAAAAAAAATAGGTAAGAAATTTGTTTATGTATAGCATTTTTCTAATTAAGAAAGGTGATTTCGTAAGCTCTCTAATTAAAGCGGAATTTGAAAGGGTAAGATATACGCAACCATGTCTCCGAATAAGTTATTTCTCTGACTCGAACTCATGCCACTAGAGACTCTAACTACGAGTAACCTTTATTGGTCCATCTATTTGGCTGACTTATGTCCCAGATGAGGCTTATGCTTAAAGCAACAACAGTGTAGTAGCTTTGTACTAATCAAGTACTATTAACACTCTGGCACAGTCAGAGTTCAAGCTGTCCTCAGAAGTTCATAGCTAATTGGCATGTGCACATCATTATCATCATGGTATGACGTTTTTTTTGACTTGTTGATTTTGAGTTTTGAGTGCCCTATAATTCATACTTACGGTACAAACATTTGCTGAAGAGCAGTGTAATTGAGAGTCTTTCAAGTCTGTTACAAACTTCTTGTTGATTATTGCAGGATTTGAGTAGCTGAACATGGGAAATGAGATGGGCAACAGCAACACTTCAGGGCAAAAAGGTATGCTTAGCAAAAGATATTCTTTGACCATGATTTGTACAGTTCTACATGTTGCTATATTGTGCTGATGCAGAAGAAGAGAACACAGCAGTTGAGTCTGCAGAAAACTCTGCCCAAGAAACGAATCCTGTAGAGGATCTGAAAGGAGAGAATCAGATAGCTCCAGCAGGTGAAGGAAAAGATTTTCATGAAAAAGTTGAAGGTTTGTCATCTGATGACCCATTGGGAGCTGGAGATCCTCGTATAGACATGCAGACATCGGATGAAAATGGTTAGGCCCCGTCTGTAACATTTATGTTTACAATTTCCTATTTAGTAACTTTTTGATTTCAAAGATTTTCTTTTGATGTTATCAGTCATTAATTCACTAATTCAATCAATTACAGAGCAAGATGACACTGAGCTTAAATCTTCTTTCCAATCCACAGAAGTTCCTATAGAATCTAATGATGCAGCTAATCAAGACAGTGAAAGCCAAGCAGTGTCTTCACCCAAAGACATGAACCATCTTGAAAAGGTAACAAGGCCAAATTTGGAGGAGAATCTGTTGGCAGCAAGTGATCATCAAATCAAGAAACAGACATCCACTGGAAGAGGTTAGTTTGATATATATATATATATATATTTTTTTGGTTTCTAAAGTGCCTGTTCTAGCTTATCTTGGAAGCAGTATGTAACATTGCTTTTAAAATATATGTTTTAAGACAACTACAAGCAATATAATTATGACCAGGAATCCTCTGTTCAAAAATTCTCTGTCCATCTGTTGCACGATGTGGCGAGAATCTTGAAATACACAAAATCTTGAGGCATGACCATGCGCCTGGGAGTGCATAGGGACATGGGTATAAAAAAATAATTCGGAACAGAAGATCCAGGGCCATATGATCACACTACATAATAATTAGGGCTACAAACGAGCCGAGCCGAGTCGAGTTATGTTGAGCTCGAGTTCGGCTCGATAAAATTTGATCATGTTCAGGCTTGGCTCGAGCTTGAGTCGAGCTATAAACGTTGAGCTCAAGCTCAGCTCGCTAGATATTTATAAAGCTCGAGCTCAACTCGACTTAGCTCGTTTACAAACGAACGAGCTCGAGCTTGATCTTGATCACACAAACAAATTAAGCTGTGAACGGAGCAAAAAAAAAAATCTGCCAATCTTGAAAATCAAATAAAACATCCTAATGCAACAACAAATCAATGACATAAACAATACAATTAATATCAACATATTATGAAAACCTGCAGATGGACCTATTCAAACTCTTTAGCTAAAATCCAATCATCAAGAACATAGGAAAATCAATTGCTATAACTATTCTAGCAATCTGCAAACAGGACAACTTTAAAACTAATCTAATCAAAACATAAAACTCCCATATCCCAACTTCAAAATATAAAATTACATCACTTTAAAAAAGAACAAAAGTCTTTTAAGTCTCTCTTAGTAAGCAAGAAGATCAATGAAACTTTCTGATAATGTCTTCACTTGATACAGCTCCAAAAGTTTCCTTCGATTTTGTTGGGTAATCTGTATTGCACTGCACTTCTCAAAAATCTGTTTCATTTGATAAAGATTAATGTTAGTGTAAAACCTTAAAATAATTACCATGAACAACTCTTTCATTTAATGAAAAAAATTAAAAACATTATACTTCACTTAACACATTCAATTTGATTTTCTGAAAACTGCAACAGAGGAGGTGGAGACAAGTTACTCAACTTGTGACACAAAATTTGTGTTACCCACCACAGAGCTTCTAGAATTTGTAGCATCACAGTTCAATCAACGAGAACTTGGTGAAGTTCATGCTGAGCCATTGGCCGAAGGACATAACGGGTCACCCTCATGTCAAGCCGAAGAGAAAGGGAAATTGTTAGAAACTGAAGCGACACAGAATCTGGCTGAAACTGTTGTTTCAGATGCTAAAATAGTTGAAGAAACAGCATTCCAAGAGAATGCATTTGACACGAGCATTCAAGATGATAAATGTGAAAATGCAACTAAAGAAGAATTGGAAAATGTTTTGAGCAACATGACATCAAGTTTTCAGAGTGGTGTTGACAAATTGAATGAAGTTGTTACCGAGATAAATTTAAGTAGGAATGGTTCATCAAAATCACCGAAAGAAGCCATTGCTCAGAGAAATTCATCAAACACCTATGAAGAAGTTCCCCAATCACCAGACAAATGCATGCTTCTCACTGAAGATATGAAAGTGATTGATGAGAGTGTAGCAGAAAATGAGAAGCCAATACAGTTTCATAAGGAAGCGGTGAATGAAATAAAGACTGATGAGGTCAACACTTCTCAGCCTGAATTGATGATGGTTGGTTCTGATACTGGTAATGAAAAGGAAAGCATAGTTGATGATTCTTGTGATTCTGCAATTGACGACAACAGTCAAAGCAAGGAAGTGAAGGTGATTGAGAATGGCTACCAACTTGATATTTCCAATGAAAATCCACTAGAAAAAATAAAGGATTCAGAAGAATTAACTGAAATGGCTTCTGCTATTGAAACAGTTCCAACAGAATTAACTGTCACAAAATACAACCGTGAAGAAGAACAACTGACAGAAAAGGTCATCGAAAATGCAGAAAATTTGAAGGGAGAGACAACAGAACAGACTATGCCTCAATCTGACAAGGTTGATTACGCAAGTAGTTTATTTTCAGCATATTCTTCTCCTCTTGTAAATTTGCAGGATCAAAAACAGGACACTGTAATTGGATCAGAAACTGTCAAAAGCAATGCTGTGTTGTCAACAGAGTCAAAAAAAGATAGTTGCAGTGAGTTCTTAGTCATTAAAGCTTCAATTGTTGATTCCAACGATTCAACCAAGCAAACTTTGGTCTCAACAGTTGAACAGTCGATGACAGTTGGAGAAACTGAAACGTTGGCATTATTTAAAAGTGCTGGTAATGAAGCAGAAGAAAGTGCACCAAGGCTCAGTACAGAATCAATTCCAGAGAACCCAAGTGTTTATTCTGATCGTAGAAAATCACCAAGCTTTGATTTTGATCTCTCACTTGGAACCAGATCTGAAGAATCTGATCAAACGCCATTACTGCATCGCGATAAACCTACAATCAGAAGCCTGTCAAGCCGAGACGGAAAATATCAGTCAATTTCAGTGGTAGAGAAGACCATTGAAGTGGAAAGAAGTGATTCAGACAAGTCAAGAGGTCCATTTCTGAACTTCTTGAAAGAAAATGAAAAGGCAAATGTTGTGGTTAAAGCAGAGAAACAAGATTGTTGTGTCGATGAAAAGAAAACAGTTGCGCTGACAAAGGGGAGTGGGAAGCGAAAGCCCCGGGTTTCACTCTTCAGCACTTGTATCTGTTGTGCAGCAGCAATCAACTAAAACCCCGAATTCAAAATACTACCAATTTTCTTCGGTTTCATTTTCATTGATGATTCATCTTTTTTCTTTTCTTTTCATTTTTTTTTTTTTTTTTTTTTTTTTTTTTTTTTTTTTCTCCCATTTATTCTTTTTTAAATTTTTTTTTTTTTTTTTTTTTTTTTTTTTTTTTTTGTGTTGATTCTTCTCTCAAGCTTAAGCTATCTGAAATGGAGTTTTGATCACAAAAGAGAGTGTTGTTGGATGGTTAGTAAGTACATTGGTATTCTTTTTTCCTTGCTCGATGTAATTCTTTTTGTGTCCATTGTTTGTTTGTTTGAAGGGATTGTGAAGGGAAATTGAAGTGAAATTGTATTTTAGGTGGCTTTGCTGCCTCTATTTGTGATATTTGTTTGCTTATACTTTTTGTGGTGTAATGGGTTTAGGAATCTATTGTCCAAGAACAGAATCCTCTTCCCTGTCCTCCTCTCCTTTCTTTTATATTGTTTCCCTAGCGACCCTCCAAGGGCCCACTGCTTCCTCTTGGGCTTTGACCTCATTCATGGACCCTCTATATAGCCCATGGGATAATCGGCTCTGACGGCCCTTTAAGCCTGGTTTTACTCGGCTTTGGCCCTCTACTGGACCTGATATGGCCGACTTGTCTATGACCATGGATTCGGCATGTTCCGCCGACTCGTACTATGCCAGCCCAGGACTCAATTTCATTTATTTGGCCAACACAATTGCCCCCTGAACATCCAATTAACATCTGTTATTTGGCATGGTCGGCTTCCTTGAATATTTCGACTAAAGATCTTGGAAGTCGGAAATACGGCGCTCGCGCGCCTTTTGGTATTGATGCGTTAGATCAAACGCAATTTGGGGTCATCATTGCTTCTCATCCCTTCGTAATTTGACGTTCATTTGATGCATTTTAAAAATCGTACATATTGAATTTTGGTTCCATCGCATTCTTCATACTGTTCTTCTTCCCTCACAAGACTCCTGTGTTTTCGACTTTGCTTCATATCGCTCCTTCGCTTTACTTCCTCGTTCTGACCTGTAAGTCCTTCCCTCTCTTCATCTTTTGTTCATATTCCAGTCCCTTTGTGCATTTTTATTTGTCTATCTTCTATTTCGTCTAGAATGGCGACTCATTTGACAGCTCTCCTTTCTGAGGAGCGAGTCGCCGCCTTCCATCATCACTTTTTGATCCCCGAAGACATCCACCTATTCCTTGTGACAGACAATGTGGTTGATATGGAGAGGGTTGATGCAAACACCATAATCTTCTCTCTCCTATCAATTGCTAAGGGTGAGGTTCGTTTCCCCTTACACCTTTTCCTTAGGACTATTCTGCGCTATTGGGGTTTCATTCCCTCTCAACCTAATGTGAATTTTACCGTATAATCATGGGTTTAGTGGAACTGAACTGTCGACTAGGGCTCAACCTGGGAATTTCAGCGATTCGACATTGCTATGTCCTAGCGAAATCAACTGGTCATCAAGGCCGTTATTTTCTTAGAGCTAAGGACATAGATCACCACTTGGTGACTATGCTTGCTAGCTCCGGAAAAAGAGTCAACGACATCATGGTCACCGTTTGAGGCAACTGGGAATTCGGCGAAAGAGAAGATCGCCAAGACCCTGTGCCAAGACGGAAAGGCGAGCTAGGTAGCTAAAAAAAATTCTTAGCTAGCCATTCTATTCGGCTCTAAAAGATTATTGACCAGTTTTGTTCCGAGTGGAGATTACTTCTCCACAGGACATTTTTTCCGAATTAGGAGACTTGCTTGGGGCTGACTTTGAGGAAATGGGCAGAGAGTCGGTTGCTCAGTTCGCCAGGAGAAGAAATGCCGAGAAAATGGCGGCACGGAGGAGAGCCAATGGTAGTGAAGGGAACCTAGAAACACCTCCTCCGGCAATAACAACTCAAGAATTGATTGTGGCTGACAAAGTCCCCAACCATCAGCCGATGGAGACCTCGGGTTCCGATCAAATCGATCAAATGGGAGAAAAGCGCCCCACTGAATTCATTGTCGAATCACCAGAAGAATCGGTTGATAAATGGCAAAGGTTGGAGGCGTTTTCTCCGATTCAGCCAAGCCATTCGTCATCCAGCCAAGGATGAAAAATTCATCGGTTCTGTCCAGTGGGTCGGCCAATAAAGATCCCGTTGTGGCTTTGAGTGTAGCATCGGTGCTTTCACTTTTGTCAGATAAAGCCGTAATCCGTGTTGAGCCGGATGTCATCTATATTGCCTTGGCGGCGCAATTGGCTATACTGGTAAGTAGTATGTACTGGGATGAATCTGTTTATATATTCACTAATGTCGTTATTATTATACTTGTTAGGCAGCGGGCATGATAGCGGAGATTGGTCGTCGTCACTATGACGCCATAAAGAGACTCGGCGTGATCAAAGTCCAACTAGAAGATGAAAGAAACAAAGCTACGGCTGCAATGGCTGATTTGAAAACGACAATAGATAAGGCGGAGGCTAAAGCTAAGAGGACAGAAGAGGAGCGAGCAAAAGCTGCTGCTGAAGAAGTGAAAGCAAGGCACGCCAAGGAGAGGGCTGCCAGTATGGACAGCAAGTTAAAGTTAGCCAAGGAAAAGAATGTCAAATTAATGGTCGAGTTGGAGGAGGCAAATAAGGCCCAAAAGCGTGCGAAGGCGGATGCAGCCAAGGATTATATGCCGATGAAGCATTGAAGTTTGAAAACCTTAGGACTGTTTTGTACTACTGGAGTTTCATTCCCTCTTCACCCAATATGAATTTTTACCATATAGTTATGGGTTTAGTGGAACTAAACTGCCGACTAGGGCTTAACCTGGGAATTCCGGCGATTTGACATTGCTATGTCCTGGCGAAGTCAATTGATCATTAGTGTCGTTATTTTCTTAGAGCCAAGGACATAGATCATCATTTGGTGACTATGCTTGCTAGGTCCAGAAAAGAGTTGATGACGTCATGGTCGCCGTTCGAGGCAACTGGGAATTCAGCGAAGGAGAAGATTGCCAAGACCCTGTGCCTAGACGAAAGGGAGAGCCAGGTGGCTAAAAACTATCTTTAGTTTAGACGTTATATTCGGCTCCAAAAGATGACTGATCTAGTTTTTTTTTTGCAGGTAACGACTTAAAGAGAGTCCTTCCATCGGCAGGCCCAGCCGTTCTTAACCAGTTGAAAATGGCCCTTAGATACAAAGGGCGGGCCAATTTACAAGGACAAGGGCGCGCGACACATATTCTGTTGAGATATGACCCAACCTACGCAACCTTTTCGGCGGCAGATCATATCCCCGTGCCGAGAGAAGAGAAGTATCTCACGGCACTCATATTCCCCAGCTTTAAGAGCTTAAGGGACATCGGTTTTGAGGGTTCGGACACCGAAGAGGCTGGACCGGAGGGCCGTTTAGAAGAAAAGACTTCAGACGCAGAAGACGCTGGACAGGGGATCTATTTGGAAGAACAAGACCTGAAGAGAGAAGTTGAGTTGACCTTTGAGCAACTTAACCAAGGGGGCAGCGGCCAACCCTCTACTTCGGGCCGAGTGGAGATTACTTCTCCACAGGACATTTTTTCCGAATTAGGAGACTTGCTTGGGGCCGACTTTGAGGAAATGGGCAGAGAGTCGCTTGCTCAGTTCGCCAGGAGAAGAAATGCCGAGAAGATAGAGGCATGAAGGAGAGCCAATGGTAGTGGAGGGAACCTAGAAACACCTCCTCCGGCAATAACAACTCAAGAATTGATTGTGGCTGACAAAGTCCCCAACCGTCAGCCGATGGAGACCTCGGGTTCCAATCAAATCGATCAAATGGGAGAAAAGCGCCCCGCTGAATTCATTGCTGAATCACCAGAAGAATCGGTTGATAAATGGCAAAGGCTGGAGGCGTTTTCTCCGATTCAGCCGAGCCATTCGTCATCCAGCTAAGGATGAAAAATTCATCGGTTCTGTCCAGTGGGTCGGCCAATAAAGATCCCGTTGTGGCTTTGAGTGTAGCATCGGCGCTTTCACTTCTGTCAGATAAAGCCGTAATCCGTGTTGAGCCGGATGTCGTCTATATTGCCTTGGCGGCACAGTTGGCTATACTGGTAAGTAGTATATACTGGGATGAATCTGTTTATTTATTCACTAATGTCGTTGTTATTATACTTGTTAGGCGGCAGGCATGATAACGGAGATTGGCCGTCGTCACTATGACGCCATAAAGAGACTCGGCGTGATCAAAGTCCAACTTGAAGATGAAAGAAACAAGGCTACGGCTGCAATGGCTGATTTGAAAACGGCAACAGATAAGGCGGAGGCTAAAGCTAAGAGGACAGAAGAGGAGCGAGCAAAAGCTGCTGCTGAAGAAGTGAAAGCAAGGCACGCCGAGGAGAGGGCTGCCAGTATGGACAGCAAGTTGAAGTTAGCCAAGGAAGAGAATGTCAAATTAATGGTCGAGTTGGAGGAGGCAAATAAGGCCCAAAAGCGTGCGGAGGCGAATGCAGCCAAGGCATTTGATGCCGACGAGCTTCAAGCCAAAGGATTATGTGCCGATGAAGCATTGAAGTTTGAAAACCGAGGCTTCAAGCATGGCTGGCTTAAAGCTTTGGTGGCTGCCAAAGTGACTCTTGATTTGCCAATTCCATACGAGCAACTAGAGGTTGAACCTCTAGAATCAGACCCAGAGGATTTTGAAGATGTTTGACAATAGTTTGCTTATTTTTGCTGTTTATTTGTAGTTGTTTTAGTGTTAATATAGTATTACTAATGTTTTGTATTTAGGGCGGTTTTCATTAATAAAATGATACTTTGTTCGTATACAATTTATGAATGAAAAATGCAAGTTCTAAGAAATGATGTGTGTATACAAATGAAATTATAGTAATGGTTTATTTGTGTTTGAAATTATTGTAATGCTCAAAGCAAAAAATGAAATTATAGTAATGCTTAAAGCAAAAATTGAAATTATAGTAATACTCTTAGCAAAAAATGAACTGCGGCGAATGGTTAAGTGGGGCAGCTGAATAATTCAGCCATATATGGATGAGCCGAATAGATGAGCTTATCTGCCCATGGCCCATTTGAGCATAAGGTTTCCGCCGATTACATAACATGGCCTCCATGATCAGATGGGGCAACTGAATAATTCGGCCACATATG